GCTGAAATTTTCAGGGAAGCTTTGTTTCGGATGACAATAGAATATTCAACTGTTATTATAACTAAATTGATCCATGGAAACATTTTATTGATCATTTTAGACCGCTATATAATTGTACAAAAAAACGTGGGGAAGAAGGGACATAACCCAGTAACTGTAATTTGATGAAAACAAGGTTCGGTACTCTCCCTCTTTTTGCTTACTGAGTAGTTGTCACGCGGTGTATGTCTACAAACAACCAGAACGTAACAACTGGTGGCCAGTATGGGGGAGACGATATGGTCGAGTGGTTGGGCATACGATTGCTAACCCACTCGACACGGGTTCAAATCTATGTGTTCTAGTCAGTAACGTATTCACACAACGTGTTTTTTACGAGTTGTCTTTTCCCACGTTTTCTTTAACTTGCTTTCGTCTCTGTCTTTCCAATCAAATCTTGTGATCGAAATTTCTGGCACTTCCCAGTTAGCTAGCGCTCTGAAATTTTCAGGGAAGATTTGTTTTGGATGACAATAGAATATTAAATTGATATTATTACTAAATTGATCCATGGAAACATTTTATTGAGCATTTTAGAGCGCTATATAATTGTAGTAAAAACGTGTGGAAAAAGGGACATAACCCAGTAACTGTAATTTGATGAAAACAAGGTTCGGTACTCTCCCTCTTTGCTTACTGAGTAGTGTTCACGCGGTGTTTGTGTACAAACAACCGTAACAACTGGTGGCCAGTATGGTGGAGACGATATGGTCGAGTGGTTGGGCACACGATTGCTAATCCACTCGACACGGGTTCAAGGCACGTGTTTTTTACGATTTGTCTTCGTTTACCCAAAAAAAAGTGAATGCGAAAAGATAAAATCGATAGCAAGATTTTAATGCAAACAAACAGACAAAGACTAAAAAGTAGAAAATAATTATCATTAAAAAAGTTAAAAAAAAACCCACGTTTTCTGATTGAACTAAAAAGTAGAAAATAAATGCTATACATCACAATAATGCAAGCGATCACTCTACTATAAGCGATGAAAAACGTGGGGCTCCGTGATTTTCTTACAGTTTCTAATACTGTTGACTCTCTACAAGCTCCCTAAAAAAAGTCAATAGTATTATCTAATCAATAGTAATATAACTTTTACTTCGGCGCCCCACGTTTTTCATCGCTTATAGTAGAGTGATCGCTTGCATTATTGTGATGTATAGCATTTTTTTTCTACTTTTTAGTTCAATCAGAAAACGTGGGTTTTTTTAAACTTTTTTAATGATAATTATTATTGCTTGTTTCATTACAAGTCCTATTACTGCAATTTTCATATAGTTAAGGCCACTAGACCTACTAAACGATGTAAGCAACACGACAACAGGTGATGCTTTATCACTTTGTTCAACCTAACTGACAATTTAAAACTATAATACACTATTATCAAAATTGTTCTAAAGACATATCCAAACTTAGACCAAATAAGCTTGCATCTTATACAAACTACACTCTAAAGCTGTGTTTCTTAACCTTTTGGAGGTACCGAACCCTACCAGTTTCATATGCGCCTTCACTGAATTCTTCTTAATAGTTTTATCGTCCATATTGAAAAAATCTTATCTGGAATCATATATACATATATATATAAGGGGGGCGCCAAATTGAAAGTTCGCCCCAGGCGCCGGGAAGGGTCGCTACGCCTCTGCCAATAATGAACAGTAATTTGTGTTAGCACATGTGCTAGTATTTCGCCGTCATTGTTTCAATCTCCTGTAGAATTAATTTTCTGTCGATAATTTTTTTGCTCATTATTCTAAAGTGGTATGTTTTTTGTTTCCAACGCAAAAGTATTACTGCATTGATGGTTGTTAATACAATAATCCTTTATGTTCTTGCACCATAATACATCAAAATACGATTTTATTCGGATTATTTGAAAATCTGTATTTCATTAAATAAAGTTCATATTTAACGTTATATTTTAGAAATGCAGGGGTAAGCATAAAATTTGTTTTTAATAGTTTATTCGTGATTAATGTTTTACAAATACATATTCATTTAGCATTCCTATTTTTAAAAATGAACAAACAGTAACTTGTTTTATGATTAGTTTTTATGTAAATTGAAAATAAAAATACTGTATTAATTATGAAGCATTACCTCGAATGCATGCTTTAAGTTTTTTAATGTTCACGACATTTACATTTAACGTAGCTAATTTAATTTAAGTAACGTAAAGTGCATGTAAAGGTGAATGTGTTAGATGTTGTGTTAGAATCCATCTGATTCTGTCACCTGGGCATATGAAGGGATAGTGTAGTCAGCACCTTTATTTTCTTTAAAGTCAGCTAGATACACATTAAAGCTGCGTAGACTTAGAGACGGCCTAAGGACATGAGTCCGCAATTCGAACTCGAAACTGTTGGATTAATGTTGTGCGCTATGCTGTTCTACCACGCCGACCCAAACTCAGTAATATAAAGCGTCACTAATGACAATCTCTTTACTACAAAAACTCAATTTGTTTACATGTTTGAATATTTATTTGTTTTTTTTTTGTTTGTCTGATTGACTAGTGGAGAGAATCTGCTCTATGTGGAGAGCTGTAAAATAGTATGTAGGTAGAGAACAATTTTTGTTTTCAGACAGACTGTTAATCACACATTTATTTAAAGACGTTAATTAATTTATTGATTTATTCATAGGTAGATTAACCACATTAATTTTAAAAGTTTAAAACATTGACTTTACTTTGTGGGAATAGTGACGTCTCATGATTTGTTTACTTTTTAGTACAATGAATGGCGGCTTCAATCCAAGATTTAGTTTCCGATTCAGATGTTAAACGCGTTTTTAAACTAATTTTCTGTGGGCGATAACTTTAACAATACGTCCGTTTGTTATTTTTATTACTTTTCAACACTATTATCAATGTTTTAACACTTCTTTTTATTTTATTATACAATACATTTCTCTAGATCTACAGAAATATGTCTACATTCTTACGCCGCTTAGATGTAAAATATATAATTTATTAACTTCTCCAGAGTACGAGCCTAGATATCTAAAAGGCTAACACATTAGGTTACCATGCCGGTGGCATGGGTTCTTGACATGTCGGTGTTTCTTTTTTTCTTTTCTTTTTTTTGTTTTTAGTTGTGAATTATAATGTTGCCTTTGCAAATTGGAACTTAACGGGATACAGGGCAGGTGAAGTAGAGTTCACCTGTTTCTTTGTCCTCAGTCTATAGCGTGGATAGTGTAGTCAGAGCCATGCTCGGCCGGACTCTTTTTTTTTTTAAAGATAAAACATATTGTCCGAGACTTGGCGGAACACTGGGCAGGTGAAGTAGTGTTGGGTAGGTGTAAATTTCACCTGTGACGACAACATATGAAGAGATAGTGTGGTCAGACCCACGCTCAGCCAAAATTTGTGTTTTCACAGACAAAAACATGTCTCAGTTGGGAGGACACTGGGCAGGTGAAGTAGAGTTTACTTGTTTTTTATGACCTCAGCATATGAAAAGATTATGTTGTCAGACCCATGCTCAGACGAAGTCAGTGTTTTTAAAAGACAAAAACGTCTAAGGTTTGACGCCTTTTTTAATGTGTAGTCTGGTTATTTTGTGATGATAAGTGACAGAGGTGATGTCATTTATGGATAACCCCCGAAACCCACAGTAGTAACAGTTAGTCTAGTTTATATCTAATAATTCTATAAAGTCAGTATTCTAATCAATGTTTTAAATGGTGTAGACTATTTAGACAGCTCGTTTACATAATACTGCTTCAAGATTTTCAATGATTATATTTTGCGTAGTTTCATCTCAGCAGATTTAACAGTATCGGTATTCCAATAAATCCTTACGAGGCCTGTACCATTCCAGATTCCATTTAGATTGGACATAAAACAATTGCTATACCACCACCCACACTTGTATTTCTGAGAACAGCTTTCACTATCGCCGTCGTTATCATTGTCTATCGTGGAGAACTCCATACCATTGTGGTAGCTTAGATTGTCTGTAGCGTTACCTCTAAATGACGATAAGCTCATCTTGTACTTGGCCGCTTCGTTGTCAACTTTAAAATTACTGTACTCTGCGTATTGGTTTTTACTTTCATAGATTAAATCAACCCTCAACTCAGTGTAACCCTGAAATGTAAACAGTATGTAGATCGTAGACAGTTAATTAATAAGCATAGGCATAAAAATAAAGACATTTTTAATTAAGCTTAGTTTTAAGCACTACTCAACTAAACTCTTGTGTTTAATTTTTAACTAAACAATTTAGTCGCATAATAATTGCACTATTTTGGTACAAATGTTAATAGCATTTTTTTTAAGTTTATTTATGGTTTCTCGTTTGTTCGAATAAGCAACTATTGTATTTTGCAGCATTAGATTTCCATAGATATATTTTATTATAGAAAGTGTGCGATACTATTTTACTACATTTTAAGATATCGTTTCAATTTGAAACACATCATTTTCAGAAATTTAGCCTATGCCCAAATGTGATTAACTAAAAATCTTAATTTATTGATACAGTAATCAAAAGAGTTTTTGTAGTTATAGAAAGAAAAATACAAGTGTAGGAAACATGCTACAGCCATTAATAAACATTCCCGTGTTGATTTATTTTGAAATCACACCATACCGTATGATATGCAATTGTAAAAAAAAAACATTCTTTAATACATTTTTAACAACTAAAAACCACGCTTAACTAACATACTTTAAATTTTATTTTAAAAATTAAGTTTTGCGAAGCAGTATAAGAGACAAAGTATAACTCACTATAAAAGTAAGATAGGAGATCCAGTCATTCCCAAGCCAAAAATCTCCTGCCGTTGATCCAAACCCATGTTTGTAGTCGTCCCATCCTCTGGTAAAGTTAACATCGCCCACAACACGACGCTGGTGAGGAAGTATTGAAAATACATTTAAAATGTGTGCGTATTTTTTTAAAACTATAATTAATTTACTTTGTTTTGGTAGAGTTTAGGATCAATTATTATTAAGACGCAGCCATCACCACCTTGCATAAATCGGTGAAAATTAATGATTATTTACAAAAACAAGTAAACACCATTAGTTTACAACTGTTTATTGTTACGTTTTATCCATAATAATCTTAAATTGTCTTAACAATACCTGAATTAAGATCCATCCGCCATAGTCAGTTTTAGTGTCACACAAAGTCAATTTTGATACGTCCAATTGCACAATCTGACGGCTTGGCCATTGTGAATTGAAATTTTTTGTGCACTGAAATGAGATTAAAACAAAATACATGTTCAGTTAGTTTTCATTTACAATTTTTTTTAAGAACGGCATAAATCACCGATATAATTATGTCGATTTATGTCCTTAATCTTGCATAAGAGAAACTAAACAGCTGATTCACAAAATATTTGACATATATATAACACGATTTTCACACATAGTCTACCTGTTCTATTGCCCATACTGAAGATTGATTTTTTTCTTCCACTGTATCCTTTGGGGTAATACATACGTTTTTGGTTTTATTAAGTTCAGTTAAAGTTTTGTTTAATTCCTCTTCCACCCTACTTAATCGTTCATTGATAAAGTTCATTTGGACTCTAAAATCTTGTGTCAACTTGTTTAAAGATGATTGGATGATGTCCATTCCATTAGAAGATTCATTTTGTTTATAATTATCTGTGATTCCTTTGTTGACTGGAAGGCTGTTAATGTCATTTCTATGTTCATCGCTACTTGAATGTGACATCTGTAATGACATTGACATGTCAGCTCCTTTAAGTTTATCCAGATCTTCAAAAGTTTTTAGAAAACCTGCCATAGTGTCCACAGTTTTAACATAGTTTAGAGTTTTAGCTTTTAAACTCATCATCAAATCTGATTTCCGCATGTTTTCTTTTCGGTATGGTGCAGTCTTTTCTTCTGTGAACCCAATCTCTCCTGTCTTATACGTGAAATATATTTCACATTTCAATATCTTTTCATGGCAAGCGGAATCATTGGACAAAAACAACTGCAGTTCCTCGCCATGGTGGGATATATTCCCGTCCACAAAAACCCCAGGCACTTTGTAATCTCGAGCCTTTGAATCTGATCCTGAAACAGACGCCAACATTATCTTGTCCCCTGGTTCGTTGATCACATAGACTGACATGTTGACCAGAGCTGATATCTGAGTGTCTTCTCTTATGTTTTCTGTACACTGGAGTTGTGCACAAAACAATTCCCTGCCCTGGTAAAATAATTCTCTCTTCATGTCTATTTTTAAACCTACAAATTGTAAAAAAGACAAAACATTTACTGTTTCATTTTGCAATTGTTTTATGATTTAACTTTTTCAAAAACTAATTGAAATTTTTGTGATTTAGAACTTATTTTTAGAAAAAGTAAAATAAAGAGTGATACTTAAAACAGAGTGTCTTTAATTAAATATATTTCATAATACATATATTTAACAGAATGTGATGTTTATCGATTAATAAAAATATGGATGTATAATGGAGTTTAATGAACACTTGACAGCTATAATTAACAAATTTATGAAGTATTAATTAATAAGAATACTTGAATTCTCGAAAAATTTGTAAAATTAATTTTCGAAGAATTTACCTACCATAGCACACAAAGAAACATATGGTCAACAGAGTGTACAACACTGTTGAAGACATTTTCATGTAGACTTAGAAAATCTTCGGTGTCCAACGTTGTCAACCGCTGTCTACTTTCTATATTATATACTAAATATCTAAAGTGGTCACGTGGTTAAAATATGACCTCCAGATTGGACGATTTTAAGACAGATTAAATAGTATATGAGTATTATACAACAATGTACTAAAAATAAACTTGTTGTTTTGCAACAGTGGTGCGTGTAATGTTTCAGAAGAGCTTGTAAGTGTCAACATGTCGAGACATTCCCGGACAAGTTGAGTAAGTGTTTGTACACTGATATTTTGTGTCACAGAGCTGTTCATACAAGAAGCTGACTGTTAAGTTTTTCAAGATGTAGCACACAATTGTCGAGTGGAAACATTTACAGTGAAAGGATGCAGCTGGCGATATCTGAAGTGACTTGATTGTATAAGTAGCTTGGATTTTTATAAAGAACAGAATGGTACGCTAAGTTAGATGTTATTTCTTTTTAATTGTGATGCGCTAATAAATAGAATACATGATAATAATAAAGTTACAGCTATTTAATTCAAAAAATATTTTTTTCTTATTTTATGCTGCTCAAATTATTTTCATGAGTTACTGAATCCCCCCCCCCCCCCCCCCCCCCCGTCACCAAAAAATACCCCAGAGTTAACAGATGTTTTCAAAGTCATTATTATTTAAATAAGTAATGAAGTAATAATTATTTAAATCTCCCTTCAAAACAATAAAACCGGTATCTGCTCGGCTGTATCATTGTGTCTTAGTGGCTTCACAAAGTTGAATATTCAATTTTTATTACTGTTTATTTTAAAAATTATCATATTATTTTTGTTTTTATTATTTTTAAATATCTAATCATTAAACATTCCAATATATAAGCTTATTTAATTATAAATGGAACTGAACTTTTTTAAAAATCAATAGTCAATTTGGCCTACAATGTTCATCTATATATATAAAGCAAAGTGGTCTAGTGCCCGATAGGGCACTTCCCGGCGCCGCAGGCGCGTCAAATTTGGCACGATGGTGCCTTGGGGCGATAGAACACGAGGACCGGTGACGGTTTGCCGAAAAGTCCACGGACAGGGGGTCAAAACTGACCTCGACTGACCGGCGCCTAATATGGGCTATATTACGAAAAACAATTTCATCCGACGACCCCTCTTGAAATTGTGTGAGGTGGTAGAAGAACACCTTGGGGTGTCATAAAAAACTCGGCATATCTGGGAAAACTTCGTAAAGGGGTCAAAACTGACCAGTTGTATTTCCCTATATAATCTTTGTATTTTATGGGAAAAACAGGTGGTCATTTCAACGCGGATTTTAGGGTACTTAAACTCAGTATATCTGGCTAATGTTTTGCATACTCTTAGGTAAATGGCTTGACCTTTAGGGGTAACTGTCGGTTTGACTCAAAGCCCTCGTCGAGGGCTACAAAGTGACCACGAGTGAAATTCTCTTTATATGAGCTCTATTGTGAAAAACATTTTCCTTCGACGACCCCCCCTTAAAATTTTGTGAGGTGGTAGGAGAACGCCTTGGGGTGTCAGAAAAAAATCGCCATGTCCGGGAAAAATCGGGAAATGGGTCAAAACTGACCAGTCGTATTTCCCTATATAATCTTTGTATTTTATAACAAAAACAGGGAAAGTTTAACACAATTTTTAGGTTACTTAACGTCTGTACATCATGCTAAGTTTTTGCATATATAGATGACTAGGCCGTCTGGAAAAACTGTTGGTCAGACTCAAAGCCCTCGACGAGGGCTAAAAGATGATCGTGAGTGAAATTCTCCTTATATGAGATATATATATATATAAATAAATTGACGAACGATCCCCTTAATATTATGTGACGTCGTAGACCGACCCTGGATGGTAACAAAAAAAACTTTATTCCCGTCGGAAACAGCCATTATAGTCGTTAAATATGTTCATATACCGTAATTTCTTATATAAGCATAGCAACTGTTTGTTTAAAAAAAAGTAAACAAAGACATACGTCATACGTTCAGTTTTCACTATTTTAAACTGTTTTCACTGTTTTAGTACAAAATTAAGTTGTTAATTTATGTTCGTATCCTAATTAAATAAATTAATTAATTTCAAAAGGCAATGTAATATAAATTATGAGATATACTGTTCATGGAAACTGTGTAGTTATAATTCCATTTTAGTTATACATAGTGTACTTTCCAATATTTTGTCTGAGAACGGAATTTAAACCACAAACATTTTTTCTAAAGTAAGCATTACTGTTTAAATGTAAGCACTCCACACCTACTCCATCGCTAAATGATCTAGGTCTATCTATATACTACTAAAAGTCAAGTTTGTTTACATGTTTGAATATTTATTTTTTTTGTTTTTTTTTGTTTGTTTTTTTGTTTGGCTGATCGAGTATTGTACATGGTTCTATTCATCGTGGAGAGCTGTAAAATAGTATGTAGGTAGAGAACAATTTTTGTTTTAAGACAGACTGTTAATCACAAATTTATTTAAAGACGTTAATTAATTTATTGATTTATGCATAGGTAGATTAACCACATTTTTTTTTAAATGTTAATACATTGACTAAACTTTGTGGGAATAGTGACGTCCCTTGATGTGTTTACTTTTTGGTACAATAAAAATGGCGGACTCCATCATAGACTTTGTGGCCCATTCAAAAGTTTAACGTGTTACAAAGCTAATTTTCTGCCGGCTATAACTTAAACAATATGCCCGTTTGCTGTATTTATTACGTTCCAACACTTATATCAATTTTCAACTCTCTTTTTTCATTTATTTTTACAATAAATATCTCTAGATCTAAAGATCAGCTGTCGAAGGAAAGTTATGAATCTAGCCTAGACCTAGATCTAGAAATCTAGATTCTAGATCTAGAAATCTAGATCTAGCCTAGATCTAGATCTTGGTCACTAGACTCAATGTAAATTCTAGATCTAGACTTAATGTAAATTCTACATCTACAATCTATTTCAGGCCTTAATTATTTGATATAAATCTTTGTTTAGCTTCAATGATCATCTAATTCTAGAATACATGGGATTTTTTTTTTATCTAGGTTCTAGATCTATATATAGTAGGATTACTCTCTAACTTGGAGGCGTGGTCGGCTGCTAACAACAATATGGCGTCCGGACCGGACGCATGACTTCCTACCATTTTTAGGCCATGTTTACCACAAGCAAAATGGCGGGTGTTCACATTATTTAAACATGGTATAGGTGGCCAGGGCTAGATATGCCAGAAAAGCATTTTAAAATTTGCTTTGGAGAATGAAGGCTAAATTTTAAAGTCAGTGTCATTAAAATTAATAGAACTTTTTTTTTTACAACGTTTTCAATTATATTTTAAGCCCTATATGTGAATGATTAGGGTGGCTATCAGGACCTCGCGGGGCACAGGGCAGGTGAAGTAGGGTTCACCTGTTTCTATGTTCTCAGCATATGAAGGGATAGTGTGGTCAGTTAGCAAAGAGTAGAACATAATCTCAAACCAGAGAGTGCACACAGTAATATGACGTCATTGATTCTCGCGTATTCCACATTTTCAGTGCTATGTGTTACTGCTATGTGTTATTGAATTGCTTTATTTGTTTAAACGGCCAATGTGAAAAAAGGCCTTTGTGCCTACAATTGTAACCGTTGTTTGAATAAATTTGAAATTTGAAATTTAGAGCCATGCTCGGCCGGAATAGTTTTTTTTAAAATTCAAACATGTCTGAGACTTGGCGGGACACTTGGCAGGTGAAGTAGAGTTTAGTAGAGTTTTTAAAATATAAAAACATCTTTTTGAATGTGGGGTCTGGTTTTTTGTGACGATAAGTGACAGTCGTGATGTTTTTTTTTATGGATGACCCCCGAAACCCACAGTTATCCAACGGTTGACGGGTAGTCTAGTTAAGCAAAGTGGTCTAGTGCCCGATAGGGCACTTCCCGGCGCCGCAGGCGCGTCAAATTTGGCACGATGGTGCCTTGGGGCGATAGAACACGAGGACCGGTGACGGTTTGCCGAAAAGTCCACGGACAGGGGGTCAAAACTGACCTCGACTGACCGGCGCCTAATATGGGCTATATTACGAAAAACAATTTCATCCGACGACCCCTCTTGAAATTGTGTGAGGTGGTAGAAGAACACCTTGGGGTGTCATAAAAAACTCGGCATATCTGGGAAAACTTCGTAAAGGGGTCAAAACTGACCAGTTGTATTTCCCTATATAATCTTTGTATTTTATGGGAAAAACAGGTGGTCATTTCAACGCGGATTTTAGGGTACTTAAACTCAGTATATCTGGCTAATGTTTTGCATACTCTTAGGTAAATGGCTTGACCTTTAGGGGTAACTGTCGGTTTGACTCAAAGCCCTCGTCGAGGGCTACAAAGTGACCACGAGTGAAATTCTCTTTATATGAGCTCTATTGTGAAAAACATTTTCCTTCGACGACCCCCCCTTAAAATTTTGTGAGGTGGTAGGAGAACGCCTTGGGGTGTCAGAAAAAAATCGCCATGTCCGGGAAAAATCGGGAAATGGGTCAAAACTGACCAGTCGTATTTCCCTATATAATCTTTGTATTTTATAACAAAAACAGGGAAAGTTTAACACAATTTTTAGGTTACTTAACGTCTGTACATCATGCTAAGTTTTTGCATATATAGATGACTAGGCCGTCTGGAAAAACTGTTGGTCAGACTCAAAGCCCTCGACGAGGGCTAAAAGATGATCGTGAGTGAAATTCTCCTTATATGAGATATATATATATATAAATAAATTGACGAACGATCCCCTTAATATTATGTGACGTCGTAGACCGACCCTGGATGGTAACAAAAAAAACTTTATTCCCGTCGGAAACAGCCATTATAGTCGTTAAATATGTTCATATACCGTAATTTCTTATATAAGCATAGCAACTGTTTGTTTAAAAAAAAGTAAACAAAGACATACGTCATACGTTCAGTTTTCACTATTTTAAACTGTTTTCACTGTTTTAGTACAAAATTAAGTTGTTAATTTATGTTCGTATCCTAATTAAATAAATAAATTAATTTCAAAAGGCA